TGCACTCACAACTATCAAAAAGTGCGGCGCAGTGACCTGACAGTACTTTAAACAAACGCACTTTATTCCGAGTTAGCCATCCTTGAATGTTGTAGAGGTTGGGTTTACTAGCAAACTAAGTCGACATATATCAAAAGAATATAGTTCATTTCTCCAATAATGTGCAAAACTGTACAATCCAAGCCAACATTGGAACCCTTAACATGAAAGTATAAAGTGTAAGTTATATTTCCTGAAATTCAGGCAGTGGAATGTTTACTACTGCACAAGGGGTTGTATGAAATAAAAGGCATTTATTGTAATCTTCTCGCTGATTTTATTAGGTCGTACCTATCTAATTGAAAACAAAATGTCTTAGTGGCGTCTTCATTATTAACTGAGACCCGTGTTCTAAGTGGTGCCCTGCAAGGTACCTGCCAGGTCCTCTATTGTTCATGCTTTTTATGAACGATATTTAGCCGGAGATTATCTATTCTCAATTTTATATTTATGCTGATGATCTCAAATGATCGTATTCCTTCTCCTGCTTTATGGCGGATTTTTAGAAGAAAATCATTCGGACTTGGGCGTTCTGTATGCATGGAGCTCAACATGGCTAATTAAATTCTTAACTTAGAGGGGTCGCTACCTGTGTTTTGGGCCCAAACGATTGCCGCACTCAAGTATCATTCAAGTCAGCCCAAGGGCTGAATGTCCCACCATCCTAAGCCTTAAGCTACACCAATAAATTATGTTTATGGCCTCACGCCCGTGGAATTGCGGCCAAAGCTGCCCATTTCGTGAATTTATTTCTTATAATTTCTAACTTCCTGAAATTGACTTATTTATTGTGTTTTTGTGCCTTCAATTCTTCAATGCTCTTGTCCATTCTTTGGTTTACTGGACGATCCCAGCCGTTCAAATGTTGAGATGTCCTAACACGTTTTAGTAGACAACTTTTATGTCCGACACTTTCAAAAACTTCCTACTCAAATATATGCCAGCTAAAGAAACTAAAATTTAATTGGTATCGGAGGCTGGAAGCACCCTTCTGTCTTCTTTTCCCAGAATTTCAATCCTTACCCTCGGTAGTTGTCCACGCAGCCTATGCAATTCCGCACTGATTAGGTTTCCTTCTGCATCCTCCCATTCTAAACAGTCTTTGCTCTTGGCTTTTAGTTATAGTGTAAGGAGCACGCTAGGTGTATCCTTCTTCTCAGGAACAGACTCATTCTTCACCGTATCACTTCCTTCTACTGACGGGCCTTGAGACTGTTGTTGTTCTTGGTAAAGCGCCTGAAGTACCATAGTGACGTAAAACCGCTCAC